CCATAAAAAAGAGATTAATGGGTGGTAGTGTGTTTTGGAGGAATATACTTTTCATGTCTATTCTTCCAGTAAATTCCCTTTGTTAAGCCTTTGTTAAGGATTCAATAACATTTATTGAACATTTATAATGTGAACACAGAAGATTTAGTTCCGCTAAAAGAGAAGTGTAGGAATTTTAAAAAACAAACATACATACTCACCTAGGTGGAAGCAGCATCAATCCCAGCTGCCTCTGTCCCCCACCTCTTCTACACCAAGAACTGAGTGATCAAAGACTGCTGATTGCTCAGTTCTCAGTCTTCAGTGAGCAGAGAGCCATTGACGCTCAGTCACCGGTTCTCAGCTCCACCCCTTCAGAGCTCACTGGAGCGCTGGGTGTGCAAAGGCCACGAGAGGCTGGCTCAGTCTCTCAGAAGCTCTCTAAGAACTATAAAGTCAGGATCTTTCCTGAGCCTGCATTAGCTGAGTACCCATTGTTGACTGAAAACAGGTCACAAGAGTGCAGAACTAAATGTACCACTACCCTTTCAGGGTTCGCTGAGTAATTTTGGGTTCCCTGTTTGGTCTGACTCCATTCTGAAAGCTAAACCCCTGCTGACACCACCTTAAACCTCCAGTCAGAGGGATCCTCTGACTGCAACCATAAATTAGACTCAAACAGTTTTGCGTGAACTTATATCTTGGTTGTATTGAGATTAAATGTAAGCACATTAAAACAACTGAAACATTTGTGCATGAAATAATAGTTATCACTTGTAGTAATTTCAAAGGGAACAAACACAGAAAATCTCAATCAGTTAGACGTCCTGCAATTCAAAATTTAGCCAGTAACCCCCAGTCCTGAGATGTCTTTCCCCAGTGAGCAAAAAAAAAAAAAAACTACCAAGCAGAGCAGCTAGCTCACTTTGGGCTCTCAGAAGCAGGTGACAAGGTTAAATTCTGAGGTTAAGAAAATAAACATTTGGATCAAGTAGGTCACTGTCCCTTTAAACTGCAGTATAAAAATCTACGCGCTCGATGGGGCCCGAGTTGGTACACTTTAGGAATTCAAATCTCTCTGGTAGCAAATGTAGACATTTCTTAATAAGGTGTGAAAATAAAGGAAAGGAGCTGCTCCTTCAAGTGATAAGTAGCCTGGATAGTACCCCTTTAACACAAGCAGGGTAAGATGTAAATTTAGGCAGGGATTAAAGAATGAGCAGAAGCCCTTTCTGTAGGGATTAATTCCTCTTGCGACACCTGTGGCAAACTGCAGCAATGAAGGAACTCTTTGGTGAATGTGAGCCAACTGCAATGGAAGCAATGATGTGGCTTAACTTGCGGAGGGCAAGACACGGCAGTGGGCTCCTGTGATTGGATTATGCTGAAAGTGTAGTAACTGGTAGGCTGGGTGAACTAGGCCTTAACCAATGTAAGTTGAGAAGAGTGTCAGTTAAACTTAGGCAAAAAGCAGCAGATTTGAACAATGTCAATGGCAACTTGAATAGCTTGGGGATGGAACTCTCTCACCCAACCCATGGGTACGGTAAGGTAGCTGATGGTCTCCCTGTAGATGGGGGCCCCCAATGTTTCCGTGCTTCCTCCTTCTGAGATCACTCTGGACAGCAGCATTCTGGACCACCAGCCTGCGCGACAGCTCACCAGACTCGTCAGTGATCAGCAACTTCTCCTTCTTCCTTCTCTCTCTCTGTGGCCCAGACTGACCCTATGCTCTTGTGTCCCGCACTGCTTTCACCTCCACATGTGCTCTCCAGCTCTCACCCTTCACTTCCTGTCCACTGGTTCCCGGACTTCTGTATTTTTCTGCCCCCACCCATTAGCTAGGTCTACTGGGAAATGTAGTTTAATAGCTCCCTATCAGACACTGAAATCCTGCAATTCAGCCTACGAATCCCATGAAGTTTTTCCAACAGAGTCTGTGCAACTGGGCTGCAGGATACTGCCATCTTGTGTCCATTTAACATCCTGCAATTCTGTATTTCTGCAGGGTGTTACACAAGTGCACTCCTGTGACCCTACTTCTGCCTTTGTTTTTTCTCATGGATGTCCATTGGAGGTTGTCCTCATGTGCTAGAGATAGGCTATAAAAGGAGAGGAGCAGAGGGTTAGTGGTTAGTTAGTTGTAGGCATCTCAGCAAGCTCTTGAGGGAATGGGCTCATAATACGACCATCCATGTCTTTGTTGTTACCTCTCAAAAGAAAACTAATTTATTATGCATATCCAGCCACCATCTAATGTCTATGGCCTGCTTTAACCCTCTTTCAGTTGAATGTATAAGAACATTTGTAGATTGTAGATCAGTTGCGCATCTGTAATGCATGATAATGTGAGTAACTTGGTATCTTTGTGTAATTTCATTTTCAATAGCTGCTATATAACCTAATCATAATTTTTCTTTTATAGTGATTTCACAGATGTTTGCAAGATACTGTAGAATAATTGTAACCATCATACCTCTCTAAATTATAAACAAAGGATTCATCATGGAGAGTTCAGAGACAAATCTGCCTCTCAAATTGACCATCAGGTCCCATGTGGATGGAAGGCTCAGATGTGGTCCATCTGCTTACCTCCTTCAAAAGACATGCATGTGAATATGTCCATTCATCATATTTGTTCCAATGACAAGGTAAAGTAGGAATTTGATGTAAAAGATTGTATTTGACTCATAGAAAATGTATGACTCTGTGTTCTATGATTTAGAATGTTTATATTCTATTGCTTTATTACTCTGTTTAAGAGTGATGTCTGTTCCGAACTTTGCACGGATGATGTTAAGCAGCTGTTTGTAGGTTGCTTATGAGGAGCTTCACATCTGTCAGTATCTGAACTATTGTAAGCACATTCTGCTTGAATAATCACCTGAACAGACATGTGTTATAGTTGTGATTTTCTGTCTTTGAAAATATTTTAAGCTTAAAGAGACACTAAACTCTGGTTTTAAAAAATAATTCTATTTAAGTATGTTGTCGTAATTGAACAAAGGTCCCTTCTATTGCTCTCAGCCTTCTCCGAGTCTGCAGATTTATGTGTTGCTGTCTACCCCCCTTGGGGGTTGCTGTTGAATTTGGGTTCCCCTATAGTTCTGCAAAGCCAGTCAGTCAGCATTTTTCACACAAGCGTTCATCCATAGTCAGAAATCAGGCCTTGAACATTGGTTTTGTTATTTTATTTAGTGGATTAAACTTGGATGTGGTAAGGGGTGTATAGGATGCCCAAGAAAACCAGAATCTGAGGACAAACTTCCTGAAATATTCACAGCTTCTTCTCTCTGACATACAGTTTCTGTTGGAGTGCTAGCCAGCAACTCCAGTTGTAGTACCCCAGATCCCAGATGAACTCCTCTTCACCCAGCAATCTGAGCAGGAGATCTGACTCCTGTTTCTTCAATTAAGGCGCACAATCACTAGCAGGGGGCTAATCTGGTTTCCCAGTGCTCCTTCCCCTATCTGCCCAGGGGGTGCAGGTGTACTCACTCAGATCCTCTCCTGTACCACTTGTGGAATGGTTTGCTGCTTCCAGGCCTATCAGCTGGGCTGCTCCTGCCTTGCCACACCGGTGGTCCTCTCTCAGGGGATCAGTGAGTCCTGAGGTTTCCTCCTCTTTGAATCCAGGCTCGCAGGCAAGCCCCATCCCAGCAGGCCTCCTGGCAGCCTTCTTCCTCAAGCTTCACATCTTCCTGGCTGACACTCCTCTACAACTCCACACTTCAACTCCTGCTACTAAGCAGTCTCTAACATCTTTTAAGGGAGTCCAGCCCCTTGCCAAGTCTCCTGTTAGGTCTCTCAAAGGTGCAGCCAACCACTCCTCAGATCCACTCAGTGCATCCAAGAGCCTCCACCAAAAGCCTCAGAGGAGGGGGAAATACCAGAGAGGCTGACCTGCAGAGTCTTCCAGCCCTGACCCAATATTGACCCCTCTGATTATCTCACCTGAGCTGCTAATCAGCTCTTTTCTAGCCATCAGGGTCTAGCTCCACCTAGTGTAACTAGTAGGGTGCTACACTGTGGTCCAACTTCCTGTTGTTACGTTCTTTCTCCAAGGTCCCAAGTGAACGTGGCTACCCCTCTTGCTTGCAGCCAAAATACTTTATGTTCTATGGGATTTGCACTGTGACGTAAAAGGAATATGTGTTTGGCGATCTGCGTTTGTAGGCAGGTGCAGGTATTCTTAAGGCCTGTAGGTGGCACTGTGTTATTGCTATAGCAGAAGAAGAGTCTTTAGGTGACATTTGCCCATTAGAGACTTTGGTAGCCTCCCTAGCGGTCTGATTATGTCAGTATTTCTGTGCTCAAAGCGGTACATTTTTTTGCATGGAAATATGTAATTTTTTATTGTAGGCCTGTAATTTTTAGGAATAACTCACTGAAATCTGTCCGAACAAGAGTCTAGTAAACATCCCGGGTATGATAAAATTTGAAACACGAAATCATAAATTATAATTTAATAAATAATCATAAAAAATAACAATATAATAATAATAACTTTAATTAAATAATGTAATCAAACCAAAAACACTGAAATTTTAAATATAGTGCCAAGTTTGCACATCGCTGAGCTCAGTCGCAGAATCGTTTTCAGTGTCTGATGACGAATTTCCCCACGAATCATTATCACTCAATTCTGCAAGTGGTTCTGATTTACTATCGCTGTTCTCTAGCCGGTCTAAAACCGCTTTTGACCTAAAGGGACGCTTTTTGGACGCCATGGACATTTCTCAGTTTCCAGGCAGAAAGAACAGTAAAAATGCAGGCAGGGCACAGGACAAAGCACTCGGGACAAAATGTATGTGAAATGGTTTGATACAGTAATGGAATACTATGTGATTTTAGTGTATTAGTGGATAGCACTTTTTCACAATTTTAAATTTCCTGCCAATTCCGTCCCCCGTACGTCCCGATGTCACAGGGAACGAAACCCGGAAGACAGATGCTGGCATCGTCTGGAGGACATTGCCGGGGACGCTGCAGGGGAGACATCGCGGGAGCGCAGGACAAGGTAAGTGAAGAGATCCCGGAGCAGCTCTGCAGTGTATTCCTGAGTGTAGCTCGGGGTTACCGCTTGTGGTGCTGAAACTTTACCCCGAGCTACACTCGGGAATACCTACAGGGGGGTTAATCCACTCTGGGAAGGTGAGCATCTGATATGATGCTGCGTTCTGGTGAAAGTTGAGATGGCCATCTTAACACAGGAACCTTTAAATAGGGGATCAGGAGTAATGCATGAGTAAGTCATTAATTTTCTATGATTAAAGAGTAACTCCACTTTTGTTAAAAAAAAAAACAATCCCTTCTGGGTGATCAATGTACATTGTAGAGATTTTAACAATTTGTTGCAGATTCCTACCTGTTGCTCTGAAGAAAAAAAACTGTTGGGTTATGTCAATGTGCAAAATGACTCTGAATGAGAGCGAGTTTTTCAATTTTAATCACCTGGTACCAGCGGCGGACTGACAACTCATGGAGCCCCCGGGCAATAGGGGATCATGGGGCCCCTGTGTCCTTGCCCAAACTCAAAAAAGCCTATGAAAAAGGTACCAGGGACATCTCATGGGGCCCCCTACTGACCCCGGGCCCTCGGGCAGCGCCCGAGTTTCCAAATGGTCAGTCCGCCCCTGCCTGGTAAACGTGCAATGTTCTAATGAGGAAAGCTGCGGTGTCAGCATCCCTTTATGTGTGTGATTAACCCTTTGGGAATATCTTACCTAAAATTACATTTTGGTTGCAGAGAATGCCCAAAAGCTAAATTGTATTTTAGCTCAAACTATTGGGAAAATCAGTGATCCAATCACGCAAGTGGAAATTACATTTCTGGGGGCGGTCTGTTAACAGTTTACACTTTATGGCTTTTATACTTAGCCATCACTGGTTGTCATTGCTGAAAATGTTAGTGGTTATGGAAAATAACCAATATAGCTTAGTGAATTGAGTCTATGGCCTGTAAGGGCTTGTTCTTAGAAATATGTACAACATAAAAAAAATTGTTTCATATCGGATTTATTTGTAAAGTAAATAATTTTGTTTCTTCATATTCATTATAACCCCCCTTCGGCCATGATGTCATAGTGGTGAAATTAAATTAAAATTCTGGTGCCAAAACCGAAACCAAAAATTAAAAATGCACTTGGCCGAAAACCGAAACCGAAATGCGTAGTTTTTAAAAATGAATATATATTTTTTGTAAACAAATACACTTTGATTAAAAAAAACAAAAAAACACACAAATATATACCCCGATTTTTTTCTAAATTTGAAAGAGGATGTTATGGCGAGTAAATAGATACCCAACATGTCATGCTTATAATTGTGCATGCTCGTGGAATGGCATCCAACTGCGGTACTTAAAAATCTCCATGGGTGATGCTTTAAAAATGTGTACAGGTTAGCAGTGTAACATTACAGTGAAGGTCTAGTGTGAGAATTATTGCTCTTACTCCGACATTTGTGGTGATACCTCACATGTGTGGTTTGAACACAGTTTGCATATGTGAGTGTGGCCTACATATGCGTTCACCACTAAAATGTATTTAATGGTTTTGTTTTGTTTTTTTTTGCACTGTCCCTTTTAAAAAAAATGTAATCACTTTAATTCCTATCACAAGGAATGTATGCATCCCCTCTGATAGAAATAATTAGTGACAGGTCCTCTTTATGGAGAGATATGGGGTCAAAAAGCATTAGATCAAATAAAGTATTGATCTAGTGCTCTAAAAAAAAAATGGTTGGCTCCGGTCCTCCAAGGGCATACAGATGAGCGGAGGCCATCTTTCCTTCACTAATCTCTATGAGTGCCGGGATCGCTCCGTGGTTTCTCAGGTAAGGCTGAGAACTACCGAGTGGCGGTCGATGGCGGCAGCTGTGACAAGGGGGCGGGGTTTTTTTTTTCGGCACCTGTATCGGTGCTTTTTTTCATATCGGTCGACGGCCGATAGGGGTGTTTTTGGCCAAAACATTTCGGCCACCGAAATTTCCTTGCACCCCTATTGGTCACCAAGTGACCCTGCCTCTATGTTTACTTAGCAACGAGGGGACAATCAGCTGTCATACGGCGATGGGATTGGTCATGTTTGGCAGGCAGCAGAATTTCTTTGTGTGGGACTGTGTTCATCGTGATTGACGCTGGGTTTACATCAGGGAACATGTTTGTTTACTTTTTTTTTTAACCCCTTGCCCACCAGAGGATTTACCCCCCCCCCCCCTTCCTAACAAGGCCATTTTTTGCACAGTCATGCAATGCTGTACCCAAATGACATTTAAGTCCTTTTTTTCTCACAAATAGAGCTTTCTATCTGTGGTATTTGATCACCTCTGCATTTTTTAGACCAACAATTTGAATAAAAAAAACTATATTTTTGACTTTTTGCTATTAACCAATTCAATACCGGGCACTTTTCCCCCTTCCTGCCCAGGCCATTTTTTCAGGTTTCAGCGCTCTCACACTTTGAATGACAATTGCGCGGTCATACAACATTGTACCCAAACTAAAATTTTAGAATTTTCTTCACACAACTAGAGCTTTCTTTTGGTGGTATTTAATCACCGCTGGGGTTTTATTTTTTGCTAAATTAACAAAAAAAGACTGCAAATTTTGAAAAAAAAACACGTTTTTCTTTGTTTCTGTTATAAAAGTTTGCAAATAAATAATTGTTCTTCATAAATTTAGGCCGAGATGTATTCTGCTACATGTCTTTGGTGAAAATAACCCAAATTAGGATGTATTATTTAGTTTGTAGGAAAGTTATAGAGTTCACAAACTATGATATAGATCTGAATATTGATCAATCCTGAAGTACTAACAGCCGATCTAATTTCTTGAGGTCCAAGAATGTCAGAACAGTACAGATATCCCCCAAATGACCCCTTTTTGCAGAGTAGACAGTCCGACGTACTTCATAAGAGGCATGGCGAGTTTTTTTAAGTTGTTTTTTTTGTCATAATTTTTCGGAAAATGAAAAAATAAAAAAAAATTATTTTAACTATTTTTTTTTTACATACTGTCACCAGTGCAGTACAGCATCATCATATAACTGGGATGGCGTCATATAACTGACTGGTGACAGTGTGAAAAAAAAATATATACATATTTTTTATTTTATTTTTTTTATTATTTGAAATTTTTTATTACTTTTTTTTCTTTTTTTTTAAGATTTTTTTCATATTTCACTATGTCCAAAGTAGCACAATGTTACCATAGTAACATTGTACTACTTTGGGGAAGTGATCAGTATTTTTTTTTACACAATTTTCTTATAGCAAAGAATTACTTTGCTATAAGCAAGCATTTACCTGAATGACATCGATTTATTCAGGGTTTTTTTTTTTTTTTTTTTTTTTTTTTTTTCGTACTTAGCTGTGATTTGGCCACAGCTAATCACATGACATATGCATGTGATCACTGTGACCATTCACAGCTAGACACTAATATACAATGGATGGCATGAATGAAGCCATCTATTGTATACAACTGTTATGTGACCTGCTGTGATTGGTCACAGCAGGTCACATGGTACCGGCAACAGGGGCCGGTACTCAGATTCTGTCATCGGCCGTGTCCGAGGTACACGGCCGGTGACAGATCGCTCTGCCGCGCGGCTCTGCAAGTGCGTGAACTGCACATGTGCGGGAGGACGCCATATGGTGGTTTCCCGGAAAGCTAGTACATTTTTCAGGACGCCATACGGCTATTGGCCGGGCGTCAAATGGTTAAACATGTCCAGTAAAAAAATGTAAAAAAAATCAAATTTCATCATAAATTTAGGCTAAAATGTTTTCTGCTCCATGTCTTTGCTAGAAAAAATCCCAACACGTGTAAATTAATTGTTTTATGAGAAAGTTATAGCATTTACAAATGGTGGTATAGATACTGGAATTTTTTTTTTTTTACTAGTAATGGCTGCGATCAGCGACTTATAGTGGGAATGCGGTGGGCATTCTGACACTAGGGTGAACTGACTTGGTGTCACTGACTTCCCCAGTGACACCAATACAGTGATCAGTGCTAATATAAAGCACTGACACATTACTAATGGCACTGGACAGGAAGGGGTTAACATCTGGGGAAATCAAAGGGTTAACTGTGTGCTGTTTCACTATGGGGGCTGCTATATGCAGAGCCATACAAAGCAGGGTGCAGGAGCTGAGAGGGGAGAGATCTGTGTTGTTTATACACAGGTCTCTCCCCTGTCAGAGATACTTGGCGATCACTGGGTGCCGGAGAGTAATGACCGGCTAGGACCTGGTGATTGACAGCCGAGGCCACAAATGGCAGCGCGGGTAGTATGCGCGCCCCCTACATGTAACTGCAAAATCAAGTATATGCACGTGATTTTGCGCACCCGAGCAGCCCTGTAGAAGTATTTCTGATATAAGCAGTTAAGAAAGGACTTGTCAAAAACTGTGTTAATGTTTTCATTTACTGCTGACTTTTTTTGATGAATAAATAGGGGTACTATGTACTCAATATTTATTCACATGGGGGGGTAGGACCCCCCACACCTCCACAACCATCTGCCAGGGTTGTGGGAAAGTGGCCCTTCTCCCCATCAACATGGGGACAAGGCACTTTTGGGACGGAGCCCCCCTCCCTCAAAGTCCCCCCCCAATATTGCGGACATGTGACCTGCTGTGGTTTGGGATCGCTTGCTAGTCCCCCTTTTCCTGTCCTGCATGCTATGACAAGGGTCTGGCATGGATTTGGGGGGGACCCAACACAATTTTTTTATATTTTGGGGTTCCCTTCAAAATCCATAAAAGATCTAAAGGGGCCTGACATGGATTGGGGGGGGGGGAGAAACCCACGCTCTTTTTGTCTTTTATTTTTTACTGCTGGCTCTTCTTTTGTCTCCATTCTGCTGTCAGCGGGGAATCCTGCTGACAGCAGATGAGTCATGGCTGTGAAGGATGTGGCGGCCATCCGGCCTCCTTAACATCCAACTATTAATGAATCAATTTAGATCCTTTGTTATTTCGGATGCTTCAAACATCCAAATGAAACAAATGAATTTTTTTGTTTCGTGGACATGCAATTCTTGAAGAAGGGGACATACCCTGAAAAGCTTGTCCTGAAAAATTGTATGTTAGTGAAAATAAAAAAAGTATCACAGACGGTACTCAATTGTTTCTGTTGTTTTAGTATAATTTATTTTGGATTCTTGAAATTTATTACTGTTGTTGATCGAATATTCGGATACATCCGAACCTCTGAATGACGAAAATTTCAAAACGAATCGCACATGTCTACATGTTGTCGGTAGAGGCCAGAGAGTGGTAATAATAAGTGGATGAGCCATGGTTTTACTGTCCGCTAACACATGCTGCATCCATGGCAAAAAATGTGCTGTGCTAGGGTTTATTCACATGGGCAGCCAAGGGGTGGTAAAACCAGGTGGGTGAGTTGCAGTTTTACCACCACCTGACCACCCACCTAAACACAGAAATTCAGGTCTGTATAGTACATGCTGTGTCCACGGCAAATAATAAACAGCATGTTGCATACAAGTGAATGGAGCTGCACCGCAACCGCCATGCAACCATGGGCAATGAATGGGGTTCAAGTGTGGTGGGTTGCCATTTTGAGAGTTGGGACAGGAGCTAAGGAGGTGACATATTGCTTTTCAGAGGGGAGGCAATAACAGCCGTAGTTGTGAGCAAGCCCTGAAGGTCAGTTCACACGACATGCGTTCAGTCTAGGGGCAGACTGACCATTTGGAAACTCGGGCACTGTCCGAGGGACCAGGGTCAGTAGGGGGCCCCATGAGATGCCCCTGGTACCTTTTTCATAGGCTTTTTTGAGTTTGGGCAAGGACACAGGGGCCCCATGATCCCCTATTGCCCGGGGGCCCCATGAGTTGTCAGTCCGCCCCTGGTTCAGTTGCTTTTTTTTCTGCATCCAAAACGCACAGAAAGTAGATTATATGGTTGTCAATGTCATAGTTCACATCGGTGCTTGCAGTTCCAGTGCGTTACGGTTGCAGGAAAAAAAAAGTAGAACATGCAATATTTTTCCTGCACAGAACTGTACTGGAACGTGGTAAAATGCATCAAAAACATGCATGTCCCTATTCAGGGCTGGTTCACACCATAGAGACGCAGTCCAGATGCGTTCCGCATGCATAGTTACATAGTTAGTCTGGCTGAAAAAAGACAAAAGTCCATCCAGATGCATGTCTGCATGCGCGTTTGTGAAGCATTTTATCCTCTGGTGCGATTTTGATGCGTTCTGGTTCATTTTTTCCCCTCTCTTTTTCTTCAATTTAAATAGGGACATGTGCTTTCTGGTGCATTTTGATGCATTTTACCACGTTCCAGTACAGTTCTGTGCAGAAAAAACGCAGCCTGTTCTACATTATTTTCTGCAACCAGAAAGCACTGGATCTGCAAGCACTGATGTGAACTATGACATTGACAACCATATAACCTACATTCTGTGCGTTTTGGATGCAGAAAAAAAAGCAACTGAAAAGCATGTTGTGTGAACTGGCCCTCAAATTGAAGAAAAAGAGAGGGGAAAAAATGAACCAGAACGCATCAAAAACGCACAGAAAGTAGGTTATATGGTTGTCAATGTCATAGTTCACATCAGTGCTTGCAGATCCAGTGCTTTCTGGTTGCAGAAAATAATGTAGAACAGGCTGCGTTTTTTCTGCACAGAACTGTACTGGAACGCGGTAAAACGCATCAAAAATGCACTGTAATGGACCAGAAAGCACATATCCCTATTTAAATTGAAGAAAAAAGAGAGTGGGAAAAAATGAACCAGAACACATCAAAAACACACACAAAGTATGTGATATGGTTGTCAATGTCATAGTTCACATCAGTACTTGCAGTTCCAGTGCTTTCTGGTTGCAGAAAAAAATGTAGAACAGGCTGCGTTTTTTCTGCACAAAACTTTACTGGAACGCAGTAAAACGCATAAAAAATGCACCGTAATGGACCAGAAAGCACATATCCCTATTTAAATTGAAGAAAAAGAGAGGGGGAAAAAATTAACCAGAACACATCAAAAACGCACCGCAACTTGCCAAACCCACAGAAAAACCACACAATTAAAAAATGTGCATGCAGAAATGCATCCGGAACGCATCTGGAGTGCGTTTCTATGGTGTGAACCGGCCCTGAATGTCACACTCCTTGCGTATCCATAGTTGCGGTGTCTCTTCTGCTCAGGCTAACCAGGATGGGCATCTCTGAACCAGGGGCGGACTGACAACTCATGGGGCCCCCGGGCAATAGGGGATCATGGGGCCCCGTGTTCTTGCCCACACTCAAAATAGCCTATAAAAAAGGTACCAGGGGCATCTCATGGGGCCCCCTACTGACCCCCGGGCCCGAGTGCTGGAATGGTTAATCCGCCCCTGCTCTGAACATTATGAGATGTTACCAGGGGAGGACTGACCATTTGGGAACTTGGGCACTGCTCGAGGGCACAGGGTCAGTAGGGGGCCCCATGAGATGCCCCGGTACCTTTCATAGGCTTTTTTGAGTGTGGGTCGAGTGTGGGCGAGGACACAGGGGCCCCATGATCCTCTGTTGCCCGGGGGCCCCATGAGTTGTCAGTCCGCCCCTGGATGTTACAAACAATCGTCCTAGCATTCTCATACACCATCCTATACAAAGCAGCAGGAGACAGGACACATGACTCTTCACATAATGGATTCCATGGCCTACTCATGAATGGGCACAAGAGGCAGTCAGGCTGATGCTTTTGATGCAAAGCTCATGCAAAAAAGAGACACGGAACGTGCCCATGGATGGAACCCCCCTGATGCAGACGGCATTGGTTTTAATAAAACATTTCCAGGGAATTTGTTATTATACTTGGGATGCAGAAGTGAATTAAAAAGGTAGCCAGCTGGAGCAGTTGCTAGGCGACATTATGCCGGCACTAACGACAGGTCTATGTAAAACCTTCATAAAAGGGCTTGTTAGAATAATTCAGAAAGAATAAAAAAAAATGCGCAAATGATATAAATTACCTCTGTGGAACTATAGGATGACAAATACCTAACAAAAAAAAAAGAGAGAGAAATAAAAATTAAATTCAAGTAGTCATACTGAAAAAATGGAAGTTTTTATGTCGAAAGCAAAGTAATAAACCACTTAAAACGGCGTTATGCAAAAAGCAGCAATTGGCTATTGTTATGCAGATTCAATTGAGCAGGAGTCACTGGTGATTAATGAAAGCACAAGGCGGAATGGGTCAGGATTGAGGCCTACTATTGTAAAGCAATTACCGCATTCAGACTTTTGTTTCTATATTCAATTCTGTATGTAAATGGAAGACCTGAAATGGGTTGTTGTTGACCCAAAAGTCTTGGCAACACAAAAAAAATTCAGTAGCTTTACCATGTAAACAATGTTTATATTCATAAGATATTACTTTTAAAGGGAAACTCTGCTCTTGCTAAATACGTTTGTTCTGCCTTCAGCCGGGAAAATCATTAATACTAAATTTGGCCACTAGATGGAGTTGGAGTAAATATATTAGAGCAGGGGTGGGCAACTGTGGTCCTCCAGCTGTTGGTGAACTACAAGTCCCATCATGCCTCTGCCTTTGGGAGTCACGCTTGTAACTGTCAGTTTTGCAATGCCTCATGGGACTTGTAGTTCTACAACAGCTGGAGGGCCACAGTTGCCCACCCCTGTATTAGAGACTAGAGACTGTTTGGCCTTATTAAAAACTTCACTCTAAGTAAAGGAAACAGGCGCATCCTGGGAGCTCACACTCCATTTTACGAACTGAGGGAGAGAGGAAACCAGCTATCTTATCTACTGCACATGTTTTGGACTAAACTTACATCCCCTACAGACAGCATCGCTGGTGAGCATAGACTTATCGCCATCGACTACTAAGCAACTTATTCACTCCCTGGTCATCTCTCTCCTTGACTATTGCAACTCCCTCCTCATTTCCCTACCTCATCGCAGGCTATCCCCTCTTCAGTCTATCATAAATGCTGCTGCCAGACTCATCCACATAACCAACCGTTCCATGTCTGCCACCCCTCTCTGCCAATCCCTCCACTGGCTTCCCATTGCCCAACGGATAAAATTCAAAACATTAACAATCACATATAAAAGCATTTATAACACTGCCCCCAATTACATCACCAATCTTGTCTCCAAATATCACCCAAACCGTACTCTCCACTCCTCCCACGATCTCCTGCTCTTTAGCTCTCTTGTCTCCTCCTCCCATGCTCATCTCCAGGACTTCTCAAGAGCTCCCCCCATCCTCTGGAACTCTCTACCCCAATCTATCAGACTATCACCTACTCTGCCCACTGCCCTCTTCTATTCCTCCTACCAGTCCATCCCCTACAGTTATTACCTTTAGAAACCACTAGTCCCTCCCTCTTAGATTGTAAGCTACAAGGAGCAGGGCCCTCCTAACCCTCTTGTATTGAACCAGGGGCAGACTGACCATTTGGAAACTAGGGCACTGCCCGAGGGTCCGGGGTCAGTAGGGGGCCCCATGAGATGCTCCTGTTTCCTTTTTCATAGGTTTTTTTGAGCTACACTCGGGCTTACCATGCGGCGCTGCATAGGGAGTCCCTGCCGCACTTACCTTGTCCTGCGCTCCCACGATGTGTCCCCTGCAGGGTCCCCGGCCATCTCCTCCGCCGATGCCAGCATCCGGCTTCTGTGTTCCGGTCCCTGTGACGTCGGGACGTACGGGCGCGGCCACCGGCGGCAGGAAATTTGAAAATTTTAAAAAATGACATTTTTTTCCAAACAAATTTTACATAGCAAAACATTTCTGTTTCAACCCATTTCACATAAATTTTGTCCCTAGTGCTTTGTCCTGTGCCCTGCCTGCATTTTGTCTGTTCTTTCTGCCTGCAAACTGAGAAACGCCCATGGCGTCCAAAAAGTGTCCCTTTAGGTCAAAAGCGGGTTTAGATCAGCTAGAGAACAGCGATAGTAAATCAGAACCACTTGCAGAATTGAGTGGTGATGATTTGTGCGGAAATTCGTCATCAGACACTGAAAACGATTCTGCGACTTTGCTCAGCGATGTGCGAACTTGGCGCTCTATTTCAAATTTCAGTGTTTTGGGTTTGATTATATTATTGAATTAAATGTATTATTATTATATTATTATTTTTTATGATTATTTATTAAATTATAATTTATGACTTCGTGTTTCAAATTTTATCCTACCCGGGATGTTTACTAGACTCTTGTTCGGACAGATTTCAGTGAGTTATTCCTAAAAATTACAGCCTACAATAAAAAAACTACATATTTCCATGCAAAATAATGGTACCGCTTTCAGCACCAAAAATCTGAGATAATCATACCGCCAAGGAGGTTAAGTTAGTTTATTTTCAGTATTTAGGCTACCTTCACACTGAGGAATTTCTGAAGCATTTTTGCAATTAAAAAAAGCACCTAAAAAGCTCATGAAAAATTCTTCCCTATGTTTGTCTATGTACAGTATTCCTATGTATGTTTTCATACTGAGACATTGCGCTTCCGTTGCGGATCTTTGGAGCATGTTTGTTCAGTTAAAAAAATGTCCCAGAAACGCCGCTTCCCATTTAAATGAATGTAAAGTGCCTGAAAAACGCCTCTGAGAAGTGTTTTTGGTTCAGTTTTTAAGTCACATGTCCTTTAAAAAATGCTCAGAAAGCATTGCAAAAGTGCAGTAAAAACGCATATACGTTTTTGCGGCGATTCAGTGTGAAAGTAGCCTTAGGAATGCATCCAGGGATGAATCTACTGAGCTGCAAGTTCTTGAGGGAGTCTATTTCACAGTTTCACAGCTCTTACTGTGAAGAAGCCTTTCTGTATGTGGAGGTTAAAGCGGTTGTAAACCTCTGAAATGAAAAAAAAAACATATCCTTCTATAGCAGTGGTTCTCAACCTTTCTAATGCCGCGACCCCTTAATACAGTTCCTCATGTTGTGGTGACCCCCAACCATAAAATTATTTTCGTTGCTACTTCATAACTGTAATTTTGCAGTGGGAGGACTAGCGCCCCATCACTGATGTCAGTGGGATGAATAGTGTCCCATCATTGATGTCAGTGGAAGGAATAGTGCCCCATCATTGGTATGAGTGGGAGGAATAGTGCCCCATCATTGGTGTCAGTGGGAGGAATAGTGCCCCATCATTGGTGTCAGTGGGAGGAATAGTGCCCCATCATTGGTGTCAGTGGGAGGAATAGTGCCCAATCATTGGCGTCAGTGGGAGGAATAGTGCCTCATCATTGGTGTCAGTGGGAGGAATAGTGCCCAATCATTGGTGTCAGTGGGAGGAATAGTGCTCCATCATTGGTGTCAGTGGGAGGAATAGTGCCCAATCATTGGCGTCAGTGGGAGAAATAGTGCCTCATCATTGGCGTCAGTGGGAGGAATAGTGCCCCATCATTGGCGTCAGTGGGAGGAATAGTGTCCCATCATTGGTGTCAGTGGGAGGAATAGTGTCCCATCATTGGTGTCAGTGGGAGGAATAGTGTCCCATCATTGGTGTCAGTGGGAGGAATAGTGTCCCATCATTGGTGTCAGTGGGAGGAATAGTGTCCCATCATTGGTGTCAGTGGGGGGAATAGTGCCCCATCATTGGTATCAGTGGGGGGAATAGTACCCCATCATTGGTATCAGTGGGAGGAATAGTGCCCCATCATTGGTGTCAGTGGGAGGAATAGTGCCCCATCATTAGTATCAGTGGGAGGAATAGTGCCCCATCATTGGTGTCAGTGGAAGGAATAGTGCCCCATGATTGGTATGAGTGGGAGGAATAGTGCCCCATCATTGGTATCAGTGGGAGGAATAGTGCCCCATCATTGGTATGAGTGGGAGGAATAGTGCCCCATCATTGGTGTCAGTGGGAGGAATAGTGCCCCATCATTGGTGTCAGTGGGAGGAATAGTGCCCCATCATTGGTGTCAGTGGGAGGAATAGTGCCCCATCATTAGTATCAGTGGGAGGAATAGTGCCCCATCACTGGTGTCAGTGGAAGGAATAGTGCCCCATCATTGGTATGAGTGGGAGGAATAGTGCCCCATCATTGGTGTCAGTGGAAGGAATAGTGCCCCATCATTGGTATGAGTGGGAGGAATAGTGCCCCATCATTGGTATGAGTGGGAGGAATAGTGCCCCATCATTGGTATGAGTGGGAGGAATAGTGCCCCATCATTGGTATGAGTGGGAGGAATAGTGCCCCATCATTGGTGTCAGTGGGAGGAATAGTGCCCCATCATTGGTATCAGTGGAAGGAATAGTGCCCCATCATTGGTATCAGTGGGGGGAGGAATAGTGCCCCATCGTTGGTGTCAGTGGGGGGAGGAATAGTGCCCCATCGTTGGTGTCAGTGGGGGGAGGAATAGTGCCCCATCGTTGGTGTCAGTGGGGGGAGGAATAGTGCCCCATCGTTGGTGTCAGTGGGGGGAGGAATAGTGCCCTATCGTTGGTGTCAGTGGGGGGAGGAATAGTGCCCCATCGTTGGTGTCAGTGGGGGGAGGAATAGTGCCCCATCGTTGGTGTCAGTGGGGGGAGGAATAGTGCCCCATCGTTGGTGTCAGTGGGGGGGGAGGAATAGTGCCCCATCGTTGATGTCAGTGGGGGGGGGAAATAGTGCCCCATCGTTGGTGTCAGTGGGGGGAGAATAGTGCCCCATCGTTGGTGTCAGTGGGGGGAGGAATAGTGCCCCATCGTTGGTGTCAGTGGGGGGAGGAATAGTGCCCCATCGTTGGTGTCAGTGGGGGGAGGAATAGTGCCCCATCGTTGGTGTCAGTGGGGGGAGGAATAGTGCCCCATCGTTGGTGTCAGTGGGGGGAGGAATAGTGCCCCATCGTTGGTGTCAGTGGGGGGAGGAATAGTGCCCCATCGTTGGTGTCAGTGAGGGGAGGAATACTGTCTCATCGTTGGTGTCAGTGGGGGAGGGAATAGTGCCCCATCGTTGGTGTCAGTGAGGGGAGGAATAGTGCCCCATCGTTGGTGTCAGTGAGGGGAGGAATAGTGCCCCATCGTTGGTGTCAGTGGGGGGAGGAATAGTGCCCCATCGTTGGTGTCAGTGGGGGGAGGAATAGTGCCCCATCGTTGGTGTCAGTGGGGGAGGAATAGTGCCCCATCGTTGGTGTCAGTGGGGGAGGAATAGTGCCCCATCGTTGGTGTGAGTGGGGGAGGAATAGTGCCCCATCGTTGGTGTCAGTGGGGGGAGGAATAGTGCCCCATCGTTGGTGTCAGTGGGGGGAGGAATAGTGTCCCATCGTTGGTGTCAGTGGGGGGAGGAATAGTGCCCCATCGTTGGTGTCAGTGGGGGGAGGAATAGTGCCCCATCGTTGGTGTCAGTGGGGGGAGGAATAGTGCCCCATCGTTGGTGTCAGTGGGGGGAGGAATAGTGCCCCATCGCTGGTGTCAGTGGGGGGAGGAATAGTGCCCCATCGTTGGTGTCAGTGAGGGGAGGAATACTGTCTCATCGTTGGTGTCAGTGGGGGGAGGAATAGTGCCCCATCGTTGGTGTCAGTGAGGGGAGGAATAGTGCCCCATCGTTGGTGTCAGTGAGGGGAGGAATAGTGCCCCATCGTTGGTGTCAGTGGGGGGAGGAATAGTGCCCCATCGTTGGTGTCAGTGGGGGGAGGAATAGTGCCCCATCGTTGGTGTCAGTGGGGGGAGGAATAGTGCCCCATCGTTGGTATTAGTGACACAAATGATGGGGCACTATCCCTTCCACTGACACCAATGATACTTACCTTGCTGACTCCTGCTCCAGCCTGGGCTCGCTCTCTCCCTCTCCCATCTACAGCCTGCATACCTGGCTGCAGCAGCAAAATTTGCACTTACCTGTCAGCTGTCTTCCTTCTCTGGCCTCTCTCTTCACTCGTTCCTGCAGCTCCCTCGATCTTCTTCGATCTCCGCGCGCGCTGCCGCTCGGCTCCTCCTCTCCAAGCTCCACCTTCTCGCCGGTGATTGGCCGCCTGTGTGCCTCTCCTGAGCTACAGTTCCGGTGGCCAATCAGCGGCGAGGAGGCGGTGACAGGGGCAGCATATCATCCCGCCCACACATCGCCGGAGACAGCAGCGGTGTCTCGGTTCCTAAGACCATCGGAAATATGTGTTTTCCGATGGTCTTAGGCGACCCCTGGGAAATGGTCGTTCGACCCCCAAAGGGGTCGCGACCCCCAGGTTGAGAACCGCTGTTCTATAGTGTGTACTTCCTGGCAGGATCACCAGGTGAAAATAAAAGAAAAAAAGGTCAAAACAAAAAAATATATATTGTTGTTAACACATCTAGGAATTGGTAAACAGCAATATGTTATTTTTCTGGTTTTGGGTTTTATACTGCTTTAATGTAATAATGTAAAATGCTTCACTTATTTCTTTTTAGTTTAAAGAGAGATCTATCAGCTTGCCTGCCCATTAGACAGGCTCATCACTGAGACATCAACAACTACAATATGTGCTGATTGCTTTGGGGATTGGTTACAAAATTTGCCAGAGCAGCAATAAAAATATAAGAGGCAACATAGACATGCAGATATCTACCCGAAAACAACAGGCATGTCCTTGAATGAGTTTCCTTAAAAATATCACCTTGAGATAATGCTTAGTTCCCACTGCTCTAATTGCTTACATTGCCACCTTGGACTTTCCAAAACCTACCTGGGATATCCCCAAACTGGGAGCATCACTTGTAGTTGTTTTGGCTCTCTATGTGTAACTCCCCTCTAGTTAGTTAGGGGGAGCTAGACAGGTTTTCAGGCAGAGGCTGAGTAGCAGCCTGGTATGAGTAAGCCGGGTCATTTGCAGGTCAGGGCTGAGGGCTCTGAAGATCAATTC